TCTTCTTGGCGGCAGAGGGTTTTTTGGCAGCTGCCTTCTTCTCACCAGCGGCCTTTTTAGGGGCGGCAGCCTTCTTCTTTTTGTCACCAGCGGCTGGGGCCTTCTTCTTCTTTTCAGCAGTCTTGGCTTTGGGTTCCTTGGAGGCCGAAGCAGACAATTTGAATGAACCAGAAGCACCCTTACCTTTAGTTTGGATCAATTTTCCACTGGCAACGGCACCTTTCAAGTACTTCTTGATGAAGGGGGCCAATTTTTGGGCATCTACTTTGTAGGTGCTGGCCAAGTATTTCTTGATGGCGGGCAATGATGAACCTCCACGTTCCTTCAGGGTCTTGATGGCGGCATCAACCATTTGCTGGGTTGGAGGGTGGGTAGGGGCAGCTGATGGCTTCTTTGCTTTGGCAGCGGCTTTTTTTGGTGCCTTTTTCTCAACAGCGGCAACTGGGGAGGCGGTGGCTTCAACAACGGCGGCGTCAGACATGGTTATTCACTGTTTGGTTTATATTTCACTGTTAACACAAATACACTCACAAATTTATGTGTACTATTATTTTTGTTAGCGGCGAGCTAAAGTGTAGGTACATCGAAAAGATGAGATGTGCATAGTAGTCAATTGGTAAATTTTTCGAAAGATTGTGTGGAAGCGTGTTTAATTTTTTACAAAAGTTTTCGGAGAAATTAAATTTTCCTGAAGAAGCTTTGATAATTTTCACAAAAAATGTTTTATACCTTTAAAGTATAGATTTCAGGCTATGTTTTAAAGAAAGTTTGGTGTAATTATCACTTGCCGTTTGTGAATTATAAACGTTTAACTTGGCAGATTATAAAAATGTAATCACAAATTTCCAACTAAAATTTAAAAAAATCAAATTTTTTATGAAAATTTAATTGAAAATTCTTTTTGAAAATGTAGCCTGATATGTTTACTTTAGGATCAAAGAAAAATATCGATGAAATTTCATATTTTACTATGTGAAAAAATTGAAATTATTATGTGGTCTATGACAGCAGAAATCCTCTTGTTGGCATAATTTCAATGAAGAAAAGTTTTTCTTGAAATAAATTTGAAAGCTCAAATCTTAATAAGTTTTATAAAAATTTCTTAAAAAACATTTCAGAATTTGTATATTTACATCAAAATATAACATTATTCACAAAAAGTCATAATTTACGGGGAAAAGTTACAAAATCCCCAGAATACTTCATACTACCAATGTACAGGCATTCACTGACAAACGGTTATGTATTTTCATTTTGCAATATTTTTTGTGAATTTTAACATAATTTGTTCTATAATTTATAAAAAATAGTATTAGAAGCCATTTTCTACGTTATTTTGTCAATTTTTTGTTAATTTTATAAAAAAATATTCCCAAAAAGAAATTCCTCTTTACAGGCAAATATCACCTAGAACACTTGGAAATGTCATGAAATTAATTGCGTTTTACAAAAATGATTTTCGATCAACTTCAAAGGTAGATATTATTGGAATTCCTTTTTATAATACTTTTAATTATATTTTACATCGAAATTCTGAACAAATTAATTATTTTCTTCTTCGATTTTTGAAAATAATAAATTATTACCAGTTTCTCTAAATACATCGGGCAAAAATAATTTTGTAATTCCATACGGAGAAAATTCATATTCAAATCTCTTAAAATGCGTATAAAACATTTAAAAATGTTGCTGAAAAGGAATAAAACATATTTCATACATCATTCCTGAAAAAAATTAAATACGTGGGGCACATTTTAGCTGGAAATTTTTAAAATTCACATGAAATAATTCGTAGAAATTAAAGGCAGAAATTTTTTTCCCGTTAAATTGAATAGTCCACAACAGAAAAAAATGATCGAAGGGGAATAAAATGAGAGAAATAGACAAATTTCGCGCCAAAAATCATAAAGAGAGCAATTTTTTATTTAACGGGAAAAGGAAAAAAACAAAATGGACAAAAAAAAAATCCCGTTAGCAAAATGTATGTGGTGGTTGTTTTTATGAGTCATAGCATTTTTTTTTCGAAGAGGGAGTACAAAAATGTTAATAATTTTGCAAATTAAAAGAAATTATCAAAATGGATAATTAAAAAAATTCAAATAAAATTAAAAAAATAAAATATTCGATCAAAATAAAATAAAAAAAATTAAATAAAAAAATAAAGTGTCGAAAAATCATCAACGAAAAAAAAAAACAACATCAAAAAATATATCTTTATTATAAAAAATGTTAATTGTTGAAAAATAATCATAGCCCTAAATTATTTTTATTTATTTCAAAAAAATACTAAAAATTGTAGATTGAGTAAAAAAATATCTCTTTTTTATAAAATATTTGTGGTCCTGAAAAGGACCGATTGTTTTGTTGTAAAATTGTTGCTTTTAAAACGTCAAGAATTTAAGCACGTTCTCCACGAATACGTCTGGCCAATTGGATATCCTTAGGCATGATGGTGACACGCTTAGCATGGATGGCGCACAAGTTAGTATCTTCGAAAAGACCAACCAAGTAGGCTTCACTGGCTTCTTGCAAGGCCATAACAGCAGAGCTCTGGAAACGCAAGTCAGTTTTGAAATCTTGAGCGATTTCACGAACCAAACGTTGGAAGGGCAATTTGCGGATCAACAATTCAGTACTCTTCTGGTAACGACGGATTTCACGCAAAGCAACTGTACCAGGACGGAAACGATGAGGCTTCTTAACACCGCCGGTGGCTGGGGCACTCTTACGGGCAGCTTTGGTAGCTAGTTGTTTACGGGGAGCCTTTCCACCGGTCGATTTACGGGCAGTTTGCTTAGTACGAGCCATTTTTCACTTGAATTTTTTTCACTTCACTAGAGATATGCACACAAACACGGTTTACACTGTAATAACGTTGCCATCGCCAAGAAAACGAGTATTTATAGAAAATTGTGCTCTTAGCATCAACTTTCGGGGTTGATATGTTAGTGAATTCTTACCTATCGGTATACCAAATGTACACGCACACACAAAAGAGAACATACAATACTAACGGCAAATGTACACACACACATATAACTGTACATACTTTACTTGTGCGTTAAATGGTTGGAGAGAGCCTCAAATTTTGTATAAATACGAGCGGAATCGCCGGAAAAAAACATTAGTGCTCAAACTGTTCGTGAAGTGATAAGTGAAATAAACTAAAGTGAAAAAATGACTGGTCGTGGTAAAGGTGGTAAAGGCTTGGGAAAAGGTGGCGCTAAACGTCACAGGAAAGTGCTCCGTGATAACATCCAAGGTATTACCAAGCCAGCTATTAGACGTTTGGCTCGTCGTGGCGGTGTAAAACGTATCTCTGGCCTGATTTACGAAGAAACTCGTGGTGTTCTGAAGGTGTTTTTGGAAAACGTTATTCGTGATGCTGTCACCTACACCGAACATGCTAAGCGTAAAACCGTCACCGCTATGGATGTCGTATATGCTTTGAAGAGACAAGGCCGTACCTTGTACGGTTTCGGCGGTTAAACAAATTCTTGACGCAATTTGGAGAAATATTTTTTACAACAAAACAATCGGTCCTTTTCAGGACCACAAAATATATCAAAAAAGAGATACTTTCTTGTTGAAAACTATTTTTTTTAAATTAAAATAAATAAAAAATAAACACTTACCTTAGGAAATATAGGAATTTTATGTCAAAATTTCTAATAATTTTCTTTTTCAGCTTTCTCGTATTTTTTTCTCACAATTCGTGAAAAATGTCTAAAAATCAAATAAATGAAAAATATAAATACTTACTCGTTTCAATTTTCTCCAGAATATTTTCACCGAAAACCTTGTTTTACCGATGTCTCGTATTTTATTCCCGATCATAAACATGCCGTCGGCAACTCACATCGCTAAACACGTTTAGTTCTTCTTCTTCCTTTTCGTATAATATGAGTATAACATAGCGTCGCTTTATGTATGTATTGGTATTATTTAGTTGATATTACTAAAGAACAACCATGCTGTGGTAGCAAAGGAATTTCATTTTGACTTTTTTAAACATTGTTGAATCTTTTCTCAAAATTTAATTTGAAATTGTTGAATATTTTCATTAAATAGATCGTTGATTCATATTATTTTAAAAAAATTCATTAAAAATTTGTAAATTATTCACTAATCATTTCCTTTAAAATTTTACCGAAAATTAAAATCATTGAATTTTATTTAAAAATTCTTCATTAAATGAATTTTATTTTATTTATGTTAAATTTTCTTATTTAATTTTCAATTAATTTAATTTTTCATCAGATTATTTTTTAAAAATCACTTTTTCCTTTTATTTAAAATTATTTTATTTATTTCCTTATTATTAATTTAAAAATTGTTGATTTCATTTAAAGTATCTTTTATTTTCATAAAATGTGTTTATTATTCCAAAATTTCTTTAAATTATTTTCAAATATTTTCATTTAAATTTCTTTGAAATTTCATTAATATTTGCCTTAATTTTCTAAAATTTTCTTATTTTATTTTAATTTAATTATTAATTTACGTTATTTTATTTTTCTTTGTAATTATTTTCATTAATTTTCATTTCATTATGTTACTTTTATTCTATTTTTTGTGTTTAAAATTTTCCATAGCACCACAATGCGCTTTTATTTTCATGTATGCGTCGATTTATTTCCACCACAACACTACTTTGCCGCCAAAATTCCCTTGCAAATCATCTACTTTGTGCCTTCCCCAAAGAATGCGCCGGGGTACGAATTTTTCACATAAAATTACTGCCAGCCAGCCAGCCACCACCAACTGCCACATGCTTCTTCTTCATGCTATACATACTCATTTGGTGACGCCACGATCTCTCCTCTCTCGCTCGCTCTATTCCTGAAATCATAAGAGACAACAACAACGAATATGCAACTGAGACGAAAAACAGTTATTCTGCCAACGTCTCATACAAAATTATTGAGAATTTTATTTTTTTTCATTCAAATGTAGCTTGACGCAATTTTCTTTCTCTTTTCAAATATTTTTTGTCGTCCTGAAAAGGACGGATTGGTTGATTTTTCTATGGAATTTATACGATGGTCTGTATTCTTCTTCTTCATTCCATAATACCTTCTTTCGAGATAGTAATTTAGGCTTTCTTTTCGGTCTTCTTGGGCAAGAGAACAGCTTGGATGTTTGGCAATACACCACCTTGGGCAATGGTAACGCCAGACAGCAATTTGTTCAATTCTTCGTCGTTACGGATGGCCAATTGCAAGTGACGGGGAATGATACGAGTCTTCTTGTTGTCACGGGCAGCATTGCCAGCCAATTCCAAGACTTCAGCAGCCAAATATTCCATGACAGCGGCTAAATAGACGGGAGCACCGGCACCAACACGCTCAGCATAGTTGCCTTTGCGCAACAGACGATGGATACGACCGACGGGGAATTGAAGACCAGCACGATTGGAACGGGACTTTGCCTTTCCCTTAACTTTGCCACCTTTACCACGACCAGACATTTTCACTTTATTTTAGTTTTAAACACTTCACTTAAGCACTGAAAAACACAAATGATAAAAATTTTCGGATCGAAACGTGCTATTTATACTTTTCTCACACACACATTTCTTCAATAATGGGGTGGTTTGCCTTCTGTGTGCCTACTAGCTGTGACTACCTGAAATTCTTGTCGACTACAATCTACAAATTCTGTATAGCTTGGCGTTTTGGTTATTATTCAAGTGTTAACAGTGTTTGTGTGCGCATCTAGTGAAGTGAAATAAAACAAGCTACAAAGCAAAGTGAAGCTTACTGTGTTCGCTCCTTATTTGGAGTAGTGTTAAAAATAAACATTTATAGTGGAAAAAAGACATTCAAATGTAGAACTGAATATGGATGAAAAAACATCCAAAATAAACACTACCTTCATAAAAGGTAGAAAAGTGACTGTTGAATCATTTTTTGATGAAAATATTACTACATTAAATAAAAATAATAATGTAGTCAAACAAACATCTGCTGACATTAATTGTGAAAATAAGGCATTGGCTACGCCCATCGAATACCTAAGTGATGCAAGCATAAATGCAGCAACAAGTGATACTTCCAAAACTATAAAAGACATTTCATTGCGAAAACGCAAAAAGAAAAAGAGAGTTGAAGGTGACAGTAGTGAATCATCTTTAGAAAATTCAAAGCTGGCAATCATCAATGCACAGCTTATGGACGAATTAAAAAGCCTAAAAGAAAAATGTAATATCCTATGTGAAGAATTACAAAAATATAAATCGCAAGAATTCAATAAGCATACAAATGCTAAAGATACAAATAATGATTGGTCGGCTGAGGTAGCAGAAAACCTCAGCACTGCGATGGATGTAGAAGTACAAACTGCACTGCCAGCAGTTTCTGTTCGTACGGACGGTACGAAAAATATTGCAAAAATCAACAATGGAAAAGTGATAATGAAGGACGACATCCAGAAATCAAGCAAAATCAACAAAATTCCGGCAAACGGCAATAATATGCAGAAATCTACAAATATGCAGAAATCTTCAAATATGCAGAAATCTTCAAATGTGCAGAAATCTTCAGATGTCCCGGCGGCTAGCAGTCCAACTACATCTAATAATAAGAATGACAGTAGAAAAACGAATACTTCTATAACTGTATACGATATCGGTGCGAAAGAGATGTCCAAACTAATCAACGAATGGTTGGGTCACGGTGAGTACTCATTAATTTTATTAAGAAATTCAAGAATAAATGTGAAGGTCAGATCTCTCGAAGACTTTACAAAGGTAACACAGAAATTAGGTGAATCTGGTATAAAATACCACACCCATACACCCAAAATTCTCTTACCATATAAGGTAGTGGTAGAAAATCTCTCCAGCGAATTTTCAGAAAACGAAATTAAAAATTGTTTGGAAAATAATTTTAATTTTAACTTTCCAATTGAGGTAATTAAAACCATTAATATTTCAGAAAATAAATGGTTAATTTGGTTTGCACGCCACTCAGATATTAATAAAATTTATAAAATCAAGAAAATTCTTAATTGGAATGTACGCATTCGTAAGAATAAAGGTAGAAATGACACACAGTGCCGAAATTGTCAAAGACCTGGACATACTTCTGCAGGATGCGGCATGCCATATAGGTGTGTTAAATGTTGCGACCCTCATGGTCCAGGGGAATGTCCACTACCTGGTAAAGAACAGGGAATTGATGAAATTACGATTGTTGATCCAAATACTGGAGAAGAAGTTAGAAAAACCATTAAATGTGTCAATTGCGAAAAAGAGGGGCATGTTGCAAGTTCCCCCAAATGCCCAATGAAAATAGCTTATATGGCAAAAATAAATAAAGCCAAAGAAGAAGCACGTGCCAAATCAATGGCATATAAAGCATCTTCGGCATTGACACGTCCAGGTGTTCAGTACGCTGATGTAATAAACAACAGCCGTACTACAAAATCAGCCCCTAACATTCAGCCTACCCCACATAGGCAGCAAAATGAGGGTATTTTGGACATATTCTCTACCGTATCGGAGGATTGTCAAAAGACATTTGGTGTCAACTTGAGTTTAGTCATAAATCGAGTGGTTAAATTCATACCAGAATACCGAAGATTAAAAGAGACAGAGGGGCAAGCCCAAGCCACTCTTGGCATGATATTCGCAATGAGTAGTATCGATGACTAATTCACTTATTTGCTTCTTTCTGAACATAAACTCTTGTATCTCATTGGCCAAGAGACATTATCTCAATATTTTTATAAAAAACAATAAACCGGATGTGTTGTTATTGGCGGAACATAAATTGTCTGCAAAGCATAATTTTTATATTAATGGTTATAAAATATTTCGTTGCGATAGAGTCGAAGGCATGGGGGGAGGGACTGCAGTTCTTGTAAAAGAAAAGCATAAATGCGAAAGATTTTATTTAAATTGTGGGAATATAGAAGCATGTGCTGCCAGAATATGGAAGAGTGATGGTACACCCATTACTTTCGTTTCCCTATACCAACGACCAGGTGAAAGATTTCAGGTAAATGATCTTAATGCTATTGTAGACTTAGGCAACACAAGTGAAATTGTTGTAGGAGCAGATTTGAATGCAAAACACCCATTATGGGGAGGGAATGAAACAAATGATAGGGGTAGAAAACTTGAAAATTTTATAACTCTATGCCCAAATTTAATGGCTTGCTCCACTTATAGGCCTACTAGACCTAATGGGACAGGTGGGTCACATATAGACTTTTTTCTACATTCTCCAGGTATTATTCCAGAAGGTGGAAATCAATTAGCTACACTGGATTTTGAGTCTGACCACAGAGCAGTTAGGCTGATTATAAATGTAAATGATGTACAAAGGGGGATAGTTCAGAAGTTTTACGATTTCGATCATATGAACATCCATCGTTTCAGGCGTAGATTACATGTAGAACTAGCACATCATATGTTACCTACTAGTAATAATGTTACGATTAACAATATTGATGATTGTGTAGCTGAATTAGAATCAGTCTTTAGAAATGCCATTCAGGAAGCAGTTCCAAAAAGATCTCGTAAAAAGGGAACTTTGGGAGAACTACCTTCTAGAATACTTCACTTTATAAAAGAACGTAAAAGACTTAATCGAGCTTTAAAAAGGTCGCATGACCCAGATAGAATGTTAATATTAAAGGCTGATATTCGAAACCTCAGCAGAATAATAGAGGGTATGATTTATGAATTCGAAGGAAATCGCCGAAAATCTATGCTGCAGAACATAGAAGTCAGTAGTAAAACCTATTCAAAAGTAAAGATGGCAGTTGGTATATCGGGTAAAAACTCTGTAGGTGACCTGGTTAGTAACGATGGTAACATCGTCTGTGACGATTTAGCCAAAGCAGAAGTAATAGCTAACAACATAGAAAGCAATTACCAAACAAGCGATTTTCCTAATGACAGCTCATTTAATAACCCCATCAATGAGGCTATAGATGGAATTAATAGCGGTTCCCCACTGGTACACTTCAATATGAACAATCTAGCTGATGGCTCGGTTTTCGTGAACAGGACTCAATGGTATGAGATTGGTTTTGTTAAACCAGGGGACATAAAATGGGCTATATCCTGAAGACCATCCAAGAAAGCCTGTGGCATTGACGATATACCAGATATAGCCCTGAAGCGGGCGGGAGACGTGGTATTCAAATTTTTGACAGTGCTCATTAATCACTGCTTAAACCTTTCCTATTTCCCTAGAGCGTGGAAAGTGGCTTTAATGGTCCCAATCCCAAAACCGGGGGGGAATCCGGAAAATTGTAGCGACTATAGACCGATTTCGCTACTTTCACCTTTTGGGAAAATTCTGGAAATGGTAATACAACAACGAATCAAGCGTGATATTGAGGATAGAAATATCCTGAGAAATTGTCAATTTGGTTTTAAACCTGGGCACTGTACAACACACGCTCTTGCCTGTTTTACGGACTATGTATCGAAGGGGCTAAATAAGAAAAATGGAACTTTGGCTGTCAGCCTAGATTTTTCTAAGGCATTTGATAGGGTATGGCAACAGGGAATCATCTACAAATTACAGTCTTTCGGCTTTAGTGAACACATTTGTAGTATGGTAAAAAGCTTTCTTGATGGGAGACATTTCAAGGTTAAAGTGGGTGAAAAACGATCAAGTCAAAGACAGGTATTAGCAGGCGTCCCACAGGGATCTATCTTGGGACCCCTACTATATAACATCTATGTAAGTGATATCCCAGGACCACCCCAAGGTGGACTTCTTCTAATGTATGCGGACGATGTACTTATTGCCTTCAGAGGACCTCTCGCAAAAACGGTCAATAGAAAAATGAACACTTATCTGCAAGAATTAAGTGTATATTTTGATAGATGGAAACTTCAACTGAATGTTGCGAAATGCCAATCAATTGTACTTACTGGCACAAAAGGGTTGGTTTACAAAAATTTTCGACATTTTGTTCCCAATGTGCGAATTGGCGATGGTGTGATACAAACATACGACACATTGAAATATCTTGGAATATTATTTCACGACAGGTTTGACTTCTGCAGACATGTAGATTTTGTGTTAAAAAAGGCTAAAAAAGTCTATTTTACATACAATAAAGTATTAAGCATGAGTGGCGGCCTTCCTATAAAGGTCAAACTATTAATATACACTCAGGTCATTAGACCCATAATTTCATATGCGTTCCCATCCTGGTTTGGAATATCTTCACACCAGATGGAACGCATAAGAATATGGGAACGAGCTATATTGCGGGCTTGTTTAGGTTTGCGTAGCTTTATATTGTCTGATGGATCATTTAAAAGGCCATCAAATAAGGTAGTTTATGAGAGATCTGGCCTTCAGCGCATTGACAGATTTTTGGTCAAAAGTGGCCTTAAATTTGTAGAAAAAAGTCAAAATATTAACAACGAGATGATAAGGAGCTCATTAATAAGCAATAACGACCCTCCCATTCTGGAAAAAAGACATCTCTCTCCCGCCGACCTTACTAAGCTTCGAGATGAAGGAATACTTTATGATAATAATAGTAATCT